CGACCGGACCCTTGCTACGTGTGGGGGCTTGAGGAAAGTTGGACTCGTAAGGAGACCGAATGCACGGTCGCAGTACGACGACGGACCAATTGGATCCTAGGGATCAGAATCAAGAAAAAACTTTCTGACCTACCGAATCCTATGGTTACATGCCCTCAAGAAGACCGATCATGGTAAAAGGGAACCGCCGCCCTACTAGGACACGCCGCGGGTTACAAAAAGAAGGCCAAGGCCCTCAGAGTCATCCCGTCCAGAAAAGCATCCAAAGGAGTATTCTACTCTTCCGCATGCTCGGGGGCTACTGTCGGGTATCGATATTAGGGATACCCAAAGCAAGGAAGTTAGCGCCCACACTGACTTCCCCCGATGGAGCAAGACGTATTAAAAAGTTTCGCCCGACCCCAAGGCCACGGGCTCTGCCTCGCCCGACCCTAATGTCGTGGGCTTCGTCTCGCCCAACCTTAAGGCCACGGGCTTCGTCTCGCCCAACCTCAAGGTCGTGACTTCCGTCTTGCCCGACCCCTAGGCCGCGGGCTCTGTCTCGCCCGACCTCGAGGCTGCGGGGGTCTCGCCCGAGGCCGCGGGCTCTGTCTCGCCTGACCTTGAGGCCACGGGCTCCATCTCGCCCGACCTCAAGGTCAGGGGCTCCGTCTCGCCCGACCTCGAGGCCATAGGCTCTGTCTCGCCCGACCCCTCGGGTGCGGGCTCCGCCTCGCCTGACCCTAAGGATGCGGGTTCCATCTCGTCCGATGGGGACCCATACCGCCGCCAACCACTCCAGGTCTAAGCGTGTGGGCCTAGGTCAAAACTCTGACACCAGGGAAGAGACTGGCATGCCTCAATGTAACCCGTGGCCATGATGGGCCATACCTGAGGATTCACATCAGGAACAGCATCGAGCGTGCGGTGTTGTTCTGCCTAACCCTCATACTAACGCTGACATGCGCTTCAGTTCACCTCGATGTCCGCTAGGACGGAATGGAACGCCATGACCGACGGATGACGCCTGCGTATGGCACCAGTGATGAACAGGGCGCGACGTGGAGCCGTCCCTGTTGACATCCATAGGATCGGCGTGACCCGCATGAAGGAGAAGGACCCAGCGATCCTGGAAACCTTCTTCTATCTCTTTCTTCTCCTTTTCCTCCACTGTAACCCGCGCTTTCCCTTCGCCTATAAAAGGAGAAGTAGTGTGCCCCATGAAAGGAGATCCAGATCTGCACGAGACCGAACCACAAGATAAAAACACAAGAGCACGATACGAGCACATGGCTGAGTAGCGATGGAGCTCTCAGCACCCATTCACTCCTTTCATCAGAGACTTGGGATTCTTTTCCTCTCTTGCCTGTTTGTAACCCCTACTGCAAACCAAGTGCCAGTAACACAAGCAGCAGCAAACTAGACGTAGGGATGTTCCACCAAAACCAGTATAAACCATTGTGTCCTCCGAGCACACCATCCGAGCCAGACACGCAAATACAAATTTACTCGTCCGTGGTCCAAAAACACCGACATACGCATTTTCACACAGGTGAGAGGAAGGACTAGAAATGCTTCTGTCAATAATAAAGTTGTTTTTCCTAGCAAAATGTTGGCTTGTGCTATGAGAGGAATAGCTCACGTCCTCTGTACCTACCTGGACAACAACTTTTCAGCTGAAGCCAACGACTGTGATAGCTCATATTGAGGCTGGCTTTATGGACAGTTCCTTTTTTCGAAGGGAAAGGAGTCATATATTAAATTTTGGCACAATACATCCTCAAATTACACATGGAAAAAATCTGAATAAAAAATACATAATATTCTATCTAGATTCATGCATAGTCTTCTTCCCCAACGACTTCTCTAGCTCAAACGCCAGAGCCAAAGTGCAGTCCTTATGCCGAATCCAATGACCAACCCAAAACATTAGACATGCCACAAGATTCAACGCTTCGGAACTAGTTCAAAACATATCTAAATCGCTGAAAGAATATCAGTAGTTGCATCGTCGGGTACGACATAGGTGCAGATTCATCACCTTGATACCTTGAATTCATCTCTACCACCATCAACAATGAGATCAATGATCCGGAGTCGCTGTCCTCGTAGGGGCTCCCAGAAGCACCCATCCCCTTGCAGATAAAGGCCATAAATTGGTCGTCTGTTGATGAAATCGATGCCTACAACGGTGATCTCGTCATGGCAGTCACCGAAGTCATCGCGGAAAACACTATTTCAACCGAAAATCATTTGATTTCGTCGGTAGATTTATTTGACTAAACCCTAAACAAACTCTCCTACAACTAAAAAGAACAAAGTGTGGACATTTTTTGGTGCGACATTTATTTTGGTTCGTCCGTCTGCCCACGCCTGTGATCCCATGATATCTTAATTACTGATTGATCGTGCCATTCTCCTTGATTGAATATTGTCTGTCATGTAATAGAAGAATCACGGCAAAATAGAAAGTAGAAAATTATTGTGCTATCCATATACACATTGCATATTTGCATGCACCAGCATACATGGCAACGAGCAAAAGGAAAGAGAATTAACATAAAAGGAAAGAGAATTAAGACAAAAGGAACATCTTTGCATTTCAAAGAACCTTGTCAAATCTGTCTACATTTAATTACTTTCCATCTTTACATTTGTAAAAGGGACAACTTTTTCCTCTTTTCATTTGTTTTCACGCTCACGTGTTCCATCGCCCTCGCTTGTTGTTTCTTGCATGAACCATAGTTGATGTCATTTGTCTTCCATGGCTCAGCCTCCCAATCCCAAGAGAAGGTCCCTACCTCTCCCTGATTGGAGATCCGACCTGCCAGAGGATCTCCTCAAGTCCATCGGGCAGCGTCTCGCATCAGGACATGACGCGGCGTCCTTCCGATCCACTTGCTCCCCATGGCGCGCCGCCGTCCCGTTCGCGACCTTCGGGCCGCTCCTGCTGCTCCCGTTCGATCCCGACTTGGACCGCGTCGGCTTCTACTGCGTCTCGGAGAAGAAAGTCTTGTCTAAGACGCTGCCCGACGTGCGCGGCAAGGTGGCGTGCGGCTCCTCGTGTGGGTGGCTGGCGCTCATGGACGAGGCAGCGTCCGTGACGCTGCTGAATCCATTCGGCGGTGCCCATGCCCCCCGCGTTGAGCTCCCGCCAACAAGCGAACACGTCGCGGCGGCGTCCTCATTGGAACGCGTGTCTAGGGTCTACGGCCGGTGGGTCCTCCATCCCACCAACGGCTACGGGGACGCGGATGCCGCAGGCAGAGCCATAAATTTAGAAGACATGAGGGACGTGTTCTTCCGTGAGATCGTGCTCTCGGCGCCGCCTGACGCCGCCGGCCACGAGTGCGTGGCCATGACCATGCTTGGGTGCTCCACGGAGGTCGCGTTCTGCCGGGTTGGAGTCGATAGCGCATGGACGCTGCTCGACATCAAACTGGAGTTCTCCGTAGGGTCCATCGTCCACTGCCAAGACAAGTTCTTGGCGATCGACTGCACTGGAGAAATCTCCGTCTGCAGCAGCAACGCCGTCGGCGCTACTCCAACCACGACGTTGTTGCCATCGCTGTCGCCACCTGCGGGGCTCTGCCACCGCAGCTACCTGGAATCAAACGGTGAGCTGCACATTGGCCTCGTTCGCGTGCCCTTAAACCCGGCTTGATCCGCTTCATTTTTCATCCGGAACAGTGTTTTTCTCTCACAAATTCCTCCAGCATTCCTCCAAACCATCAAATTCCTCCAAGCGAACAGGCTCATTGTGGGTGCCATGGTGAGCACGTTCCACGAGACACAGAGCTTCACCTACAGCAACGCGATCTACAAGTGCAACCTCTACGACCGTACGCCGGAGTGGTCTAGGGTGAGGGACATCGGTGATCAGACACTGTTGGTGTCTAAACATTTCAATGAAAACTTCAGTGCAACAAGTGTATCCAAGTACAAGGAGAACAAAATCTACTTGTCTAAGTCATTGTATGGGGATCCATACGACTTGGTCCATCGACTAGAGATCGTTGATATTGCTACCGGCGCATCCGAAGTGAAGCCCGTCCAGGAAAACATGCAGGGTTCCGAGGCTCTAGGTTTGATTCGACCCAATCTCTGGAAGCTTTAGAGTTTGTGAGCCTGCGACGCAGCGTACTCCGTGACTATGTTAAATTTATAAACTTTACTTTTTGATTAAATATCACTTTAACGTTGGTATTTAATTTAACAGTATTGTTATCTTGTCGTGTGATCCGTATGTTTTTAGTATAAATTGTTAGTTATCTCGTAGCAACGTATGAACACGCTACATAGTGAATATAAAACTGCGAAAAAGAGAGATGGGTCTCATTACCTCTGGCAGGAGAGGAAAGAGAAAGGAGGTCGAGGCGCAGGCGCGGCGGTACATCCTCTATTGGTTGCTCATCCAAGTCACCAGAAATCGTGTCACATTATATATTGGTTTAATTTGCCGCCGCACCTGCTTGTGGCTTGTGCCATGTCCTTTTTGTTGTCGAAGCCTGTTGCCCCTGCGCATTCGGCAGATTCTACGCAGGGAGAGATTGGCTGCCCTGCCCTTGTTGGTGACCATCATCGCCCATTCATTCAGCCGGTGCTGCAAACCTGCAACTGCAAGGTGTTGAGTAGAGCAATGCTGCGCTGTGCTGTGCATAGCCTTCAGATCAGCTCGAAGCTCGTCCACGGCGGCCATGGAAAACCGTAAATGCTACTACTACAGTAGGAAACAAGCTCACCACAAAGAGGCACGACATGACAGTTTTAGCACTTATCAGGAAGAGACATAATTTGAATCCCCCATCACAATTCACAAACGATCCATTCCCGCCAATATGTTTGGGTTGAGACCCTCCTTGTTTTTTTTTTTTTTTGTTCCATCATTGATCAAATGTATGTATAGGAAAAGTGTATACATATATAGAATCAAACACAAACAAAAAAAAAAACACAATGGATAGTAATAATAAGTGTGATAATTATTCCGAATTCAATTCGATCCAATCCAAAAGTCCAATTCAACGGTGATCCTGCTCTGCATCGGCCGCCATGGCTGGCAGTCCTCTGGCTCCGACGTTGAAGAACTCGATGATGACCTCGAGGGGAAGGCCCTTGGTCTCCGGCACTCGCAGCGCCACGAAGGCGAGCGCCAGGCAGCAGACGACGGCGTAGAAGCCGAACACCCCAGTGAGCCCCACCCATCTGAGCATCACCGGCAGGCTGTAGGTGACCGCGATGTCACCGAGCCAGAATGCTAGCGAGCAGATGGCGATGCAGAGCCCCCGCACCCGCGTCGGGAAGATCTCGGCGCACAGGATGTTGGGGATGGGCCCGAACCCCATGACGAAGCAGCACAGGTACACCATGACGCTCCCCGTGGCCACCGCCGCGTGCGCCGTCGCCGCCATCGGCACCACGCTCGCCGCCACCAGCGCCGCCAGCGACGCGATCAGCACCGGGATCGTCCACAGCAGCAGGCTCCGCCGCCCCGATGCGTCCATGAGCCGCATCGCCACGCCGATGGTGGGCAGCATCAGCAGCGTGGTGAGGCCGCTGATGAGGATGGACGTGGAGTCGGCGCTCAGCCCCAGGCTCGCCAGCAGCACGCTGACGCCGGCCTGGTCCAGGATCTGCGGCGTGTAGTAGAGCACGCCGTTGATGCCCGAGAACTGCTGCAGCACCTGCATGGTGACGCCGCACACCAGCGCGTGACGCACGCCAGGCTCCAGGAGCTCGCGCCACCGCGCCCCGCCGCCGCTGCCGGCGGCCTCCTCCGACACCGCCGCCGGGTGCACGAACGACGGTCCGTGTACATCCCCGTCCCCCTGCTGCTTGGCGGCGTGCAGGTACAGCGCCGACTGGCTCACCAGCGCCGCCGCGTGCACGCTGTCCTCGCCGCCGCCGCCGCCCGCCTCCTCGTGCAGGTACATCCTCTTCACGCCGCCCTCCGGCCCGTCCGGGCACTTCCACGCCAGCTGCCAGCCGCCGCCGATGCCCATGGTGGTGGCCGTGTCGCCTCCTCCCGTCATGCTGCTCAGCCCGCGGGCGTCCAGCAGCGGCGCGCGGAGATCCCCCGTGCCGCTGGCATCGTCGTCCGACTGGCAGCCGGCGATCTCCTCGTCCCAGTCCAGGGGCGCCTGCTTGTTGTCGTGGAAGCTGAGCATGCTGCCGAGGTTGGAGAAGAGCATGCTGCCGCGGGTGCTCGTGGCGTCGGCCGCGACGGGGGGCCTGAGGTCGTGCACGCTGCCGAGGAGCGCGACGACGGGGTCCTTGAGGTGGTCCAGCATGCTGCCCTGGCGCGAGCCCAGGCCGATGGCGCTGCCCAGCATGCTGCCCTGCGCGCCCAGCGGCAGCGGCTGCGCCACCCACGACATGCCGCGCTCGGGCCCGTACAGGACTGTCGCGTTGGCGTTCTCGTCGGCGGGGCCCGGGGGCCCGACGATGTACTCCTCGATGGCCGTGTCTCCGGCGGTGCCCAGGCCTTCGACGAGGAGCGCCATCTCCCCCGCGACGTCGTCCCTGCCCCTGAGCATCTGGAGGACGGCCTGGCCTCCTTCATCCTGCCCTTGCTGACGAGCCAGCGCGGGGACTCCGGGAGGTAGCAGACGGTGAGGAGCAGGTAGAGGAGGGAGAGGAGGAGAGGACGCCGAGCATGAGGCGCCAGTCCGGTTGCGGTGCCAGCGTCATGGAGAAGACCATGCAGTAGGCGAGGAACATGCCGCCGGATCCCGTGAACTGCGGGAGCGTGTTGAGGAGGCCGCGGATCTCGGGCGGCGCCGTCTCGGAGATGTAGACCGGGACGAGCGTGACGGCGAGTCCGATGGCGAAGCCGTCGACGAGGCGCGCGAGGAGGAGGACGTGCACGCCGGGGGACCAGAGCATGAGGAGGCCCGCGAGGAAGTAGAGCAGCGAGGAGGCGATGAGCATGGGGCGGCGGCCGACGGAGTCGGAGACGGGCCCGGAGAAGGTGGTGATGAGGGTGGCGCCGACGAGGGAGGTGGCGACGAGGAGGCCCTCCACGGCGGGCTGGGACTCGAGGTGGAAGTCGCGCTTGATGTAGAGGACGGCGCCCGCGATGGTGGCGTTGTCCCATCCCTGCAGCATGTTGCCGATCGCCGCGGCGATGGCCACCAGCACCGCGCCACGCATGGTGGTGTCGGTGGTGGAGCAGGCTGCTTGCTGATCGTCGATCGATGAAGCAATGCAACAGTGGCGGAAGTAACGAATGCGCTAGCAATGCGAGCCCATGCAAACTAACTATTACAAAATGCTGCTGTTGCTGCTGCAGGAGCTGGAAGAAGGAGACGATGACGAAGAAGAGGAGATTGAGATCTCACACTTCCTTTTTTGGATTTAAATAGGCTACTAGTGATGCAAGACAACAGATCCAAGGCCAGGGAAGCATTGGATCGCCTCATTTGTTTTTTTCTCCCTTTCCTTTCTGATGAAAGCTAGTAGTGAAATAGGAAATAAGAGTTAAATTGGCGATTACTCATTTTCATCGCGCATCACATGCTGTATATCATCATTAGCACTAATTAATCGCTGCACTGAGCTTGAATGAAATTAAATCTGACTTTGCAAATGTAACGAGCAACCAACCAAGCACTACTATTTTGCCCACAAAAAAGCAAGCACTATTTTCGGTAGCAATGCAAGGCAAGAGGGACTGAACCGAGTCGTTGGCATGTCCGTGCGTCCACCATGACTATGAGCCAGCCAGCCAAGATGCAGATCAGATCCCTGCTAAGCTCTTCCCTCTTGCAAATTGGCGCCAATTCAACGTGGTTACTGCTGCCACTGCAGTAGATCTGGAGTCTGGACTTGGCCTGTCTGTCTCCGGCGGCAGATGATCTGAAGCAAAGCAAAGCAATCACCATCCAAATATCACAAGAATTCAAACCTCCTTTCCCCCCCAGCTGCACAAAAACCAGTACTGTTCGTACCAAATCGAAACCAATTCAATTCAGGCATCGATCGCCACCTAACAGCACCACCTTTTCTTTTTCCTTCAAAACAAGGATGCTTCAACCAACATCTGCCGTGGCAGCCCGTGCGGTTTAATTCATGTTCCACGCTTGTCAAAATGGAGCTTCGGAGAACCTCACCTTGATGCGGCATTTTTGGAACATAGGATCTTTTTTCTTCTTTCTGTTACTGTTTTTTTTTCCTATGAAATTGAACTAATTTCTATAAACTTCTCGTGTGAATCCTGTGAGATCAGGTTATCTTCTTTTCTGGGGGATAAAAGCAGTGTCCGTGTCACACCCTGTCAAATTTATGGCCTCAACATTTTCCTTCCTTTTTTTATAATATTTAGACTCGTGCTACCATTGTTCCGTTTATATGTGCCACGGCCATGTATATCAGTTCTAGTTGCAAATTGAAACTTGTTCGATTCACGGCACTTTGAAATGGTACAACGGTGCATAAACGTAACAAGTTTTATGTAATGATGGCATGGATCTAAATATTACAGAAGCAATGACGACAAATGTTGAAATTGTAACCGAAACAGTGGTACGGGCCTAATTATCCACTCCTTCCCTTCCCTTTCCCTAACTAGTTATTAAGGGCTTGTTTGGAACGTAGGATTGGAAAACAGAGGAAAGGTACAGGAATGAGGTGACAAAACAAAGGAACGAGAAAGCACAGGAAAGTATAGAAATAGGCGTTTGGAATATAAGAATTGAAAACATAGGAATGTGTGTTAAGATGGATATTCATTAGTGTTTAGAATAACCCGTTAAACATTTTACAAGGTACCAAAGTTTGTTGCAGGTTTGCAGCTACCTCGGACGGACTTCGCGTAGGAAGAGAAAACAATGGAAATGAGTGGATTTTTGGATTCCCATGAAATCACATCATACCTATAGGATTCGAGAGGAACGGCACTGCATGTTCCTTCATTCCAAACGGGCAAATTGTTGGCATTCCTTTGGATTGAGATTTCCTATACTTTTTCTTTACGTTTCCTGTTCGCTTATCTTTTTAACCGTACTTTTTCAGCGAAGCAACAATGTTTTTCTCTTATAACAAATTAGCGAACAGTATTTTTCAGCTTGTCTTTTTTTAGCGAAGCGAAAAAGGCCAACAAAGTATTGCCACTTTTTTTTTTGCGACCGCAAAGTATTGCCACTTGGGCACTAAGCTGAGTCACTGCTTCATATCTAGGAGTAGAATAGTCAACAGATACGAAAAGAACCATTCTAAAAACGAATATATATATCAGAACTAATGGAGATTTGTAAAGACGAATGCATCGTCAATCAAGCCATCCCAATTTCGCCCATCTAGTGCGTTAAGGTTATCTGCAATATCATTTCCTGGTTTGTGTGTGTGCGCGCGCGTTAATGTTATTAGGGCACTCCCAATGCAGACTCTACGATGGTTTCTATGTCTATTTATTATCCTTCTATTTATTGATTTTTGCTGATGTGGCAATGTATTTATTGAAGAAAGAGAGGGGAGAAACAAGAAACGACGTCTAACATAGACGCTGAGTCTACGCTTCGACCGATGCCGAAGAAACCAGCCCCCGTGCGCATTGTGGAGTTGTCCATCGTTTCCATGGATCCGGTGCGCCTTCCCCTTCCCTCCCATCGCCGCCCCTCCTCCGCCTGCGCCCTCGACCCGACTCCGCATGCCAGGCTCTGAGCTCTCTCTCCCGCACGCGCTCTTCCCTTTCCCGCGCGTTGCACCGCCCTCTCCCGCGCACCGTCCCGCGAGCTCCCGCGAGCCTTCTGCTCTCTCCCGTGCCGGCTGCAGATTGAGGTCCCCAGGCCCAAATCGAGGTACGCCCTCAAGCTCCATGACCATCCCCAACTGATCTCCTCCCGACAACAATCTTTAACACAAATTCATACCCAAATCTCTGCATAGCTCCCTTCGATTCATATCGAGGTCCATCCATAGCTCCCTTCGATTCCATCTCCTCCCCCATCCACTGTGACCCAAAAATATCCCCAAATCTCACAGATGAATCGATTAACAAAGACTGATTCTCGGCAAGACAGAGGTGTCCGTAGAACCCATTCTCCATCCGTCCGTGCTGTTGGGACCTGTGCTCCAGTCGCCGGAGCTGCTGCAACCCGTGCTCAAGCTGGAGCCACCAGTGTTCCTCAAGATGCTGGTGTTCCTAGAGGAGCTGCTGCAACCTGTGCTCAAGCTGGAGCCACCGGTGTTCCTCAAGATGTTGGTGTTCCTAAAACCTGTGCTCCTCAAATTGGTGCTTTTCCCGTTGGTGCATGGTGGTCAACGTCATCTACTAGCGAAGGGTAAGTCATCAGAGAAGTGTTCTATGGATATAGATTGTTTACCTGCATATGCAGTGCAAAGTGTTTCATTTTCAGTCACTAGTGATGTATGGCATACTATGCTATTTTGGCGAAGATATGATTAATTAGAGCATGGGAATTCATATGTTTGCAGGTTATACCCACCAGGAGGGTTCACAAATTATCTGCAATCAAACCCATTTTCTAACCATTCTAGTGGAAATAATATTCCAGAAAATTTTCACTTTGTTGGTGCTGCAATGGGTCAGTCTTCAATGTCTCCAATTGATTTGGGTGCTACAAGAACTCCTTCTCCAGCACAAGAAACTGATGATCTAGTGGATGATGTAGATGTAGAAGAAACTGAAACAATTAACGTCGATGAGGATTTTAGAACCGACAGGCGTTTGAACTAGTCGGTTGATGAAGATAAACGATTGGTACGTTCCCTTTCTCACTTTTCAACTTGAGAGCTATGTCCATGTATGCCCATTGAGATTATTCTGTAATTGTAGGCCAGTGGTTGCATAATTCAAAGGATCCAGTTGACGGAAATAGCAAAAAGGCATAGCGGTATTGGGCAGATGTTACTGAAGAATACAACAAGAACATAGAAAATAGCCGTAAGAGGAACCCCAACCAACTGAAAATACGTTGGGATCGTGTTAAGAAACCATTAACTGAGTTCCATGGCTGTTGGGTAAATGTTGATAGAGTGTGGCAAAGTGGGATGAGCGACGACCAGTTGACTGACAAAGCATGCGAGTATTATGCCGGTTCACATGATGGTAAGGCCTTCACTCTAGTGCATATGTGGAAGGTAGTACGTGGTGAACAGAAGTGGTCAGCATATCTGAATAGGTTGAAGAAGGAAAAGAAAAAGAGTGCAAAGGCTAACGCTAACCCATCTCCAGTGGTGAATTTGGAATTAGATGGAGAAAAGCGACCTATGTGACATAAAAAAGCAAAAAAGGAACGCAATGACAAAAAGAAGGCAACTGATGCTTTTGTCTGATTTCAGTGGAAAACTTGAGAAGTTCATTGAAGCAAGCACGAGGAATAGGGAAGAGAGAGAGAAGATGGCTGAAATTCAGCAAAGTTTGGCTGATAAGAAGATTGAAGCAGCTAAGCTTAGTCATGAAGCAGCCCATGAACAAACTAAGTGTAAAATGCTAGAAACTTACACATATAGCTGATGCTTGCGCCTACTGATCAGCTTAGTGCAGATGCTTTGGCTGAGAGAAAGTTGACACTAGAGAGCCTGAGACTTGCTTTATTTCCTAAGGTATGATATTGTCGATCCTTCTTCAATTGGTTATTTAATTGCTGGGAAGTGTTAACTAATAAACTTATAATTTTCTGAAATTGATTCTGCAGTAGGAAGTGTGTGCATACAAATATGACCATCCAAGTAATTTCTATAAGGTAACTGAAATCCTTCTACTATTTTAATTCCTATGATCAGTGCTATTTTAATTCCTGTGATCAGTGCTTTTTGCATGCAAGTGTGAAACTCCTTTCACTATTATTTTCATACAAGTGCGCACTGTTTCCACTAGTTTTTGCGCATGCAAGTGTGGACTGTTTCCACTATTTTTGTGAATATATACAACACACCCACGACACTTTTAGTCACTGCTTCTATTTCTTCTTGTTCCCCTTTCCTGTACTGCTGCTCTTTCTTTTCTACTACTCTCTTTCTGCCATTGCTGCCCACTGATATGTAATCCATGGATGGAGATGGCAGCATCGACCCTAGTGATCTGTACTCCATGGATGATTATCTTCAAAAGCAAGAAATTATAGATGATTTAGGCGATCATCTAGTATCTGAATTGCAGTCTGTTGCTGATGTTTTACAAGGTGGAAGAACTCAGCGTGGTCCTAGGCGATATGTGGACAGACCTCGTGAACAAGCCAGCCAACAACTAATGCATGACTACTTCTCTCCTAATCCAGTCTACAATGAGACACATTTTCGTAGAAGATTTAGGATGAGGAGACCCCTCTTTATGAAGATTGTTGAGGCCTTAAGTGGGTGGTCTGAGTATTTCACCTTACGACCAGATGCTCTGAATCGCCCTGGATTCTCGCCAATTCATAAGTGTACAGTAGCGATTCGTCAACTGACATATGGCGGTTCTGCAGACCAGCATGATGAGTATCTGAAGATGGGAGAAAGTACTGGTGTGGAGTGCTTGAAAATGTTTGTTAAGGGTGTCATTGAAGTATATGGTGAAGTATACTTGAGACGACCGACAATACAAGATGTAGAACGATTGTTGGAGATCGGTGAGCGTCGTGGTTTTCCTGACATGACTGTATGCATTGGCATTGGGAAAAATATCCCTACGCATGGAAGGGACAATATACTCGTGGTGATCATGGTGTACCAACAATCATTCTAGAGGCCATTGCTTCACATGACCGATGGATATGGCATGCTTTCTTTGGAGTGGCAGGATCCAACAATGACATCAATGTGCTGAATCAATCTATTTTGTTCATCGATCAGTTAAGAGCAGAAGCTCCCCAGGTGCAGTACTTTGTGAATGGAAGGCAATATACCAAAGCTTATTATCTTGCAGATGGCATATACCCAGATTGGGCTGTTTTTGTTCAGTCCATACGTGCACCACAATCAGCTGAGCACAAGCTGTTTTCAGAACATCAAGAGGGGGTAAGAAAAGATGTTGAATGTGCATTTGGGATTTTGCAATCTCGTTTTTGCATTTTGCGTCGGCCGGCACGTCTATATGAACAAGGAGACCTTGAGGATATCATGTTAGCTTGTATAATCCTTCACAACATGATAATTGAGGATGAGAAGGATACAGAGGATGTTTCTCTTGACTTGAACGAGGAAGCAACCACGTCGACTGTTCAAGCATCTACGATCTCTCAAGGGCATGACCCAATTATGGAAGAAGTACTACAAAGAAATGCCGATATTCGTGATCGTGAAGCTCACAGGCAACTTCAATCTGATTTGATTGATCACATCTGGCAAAAGTTTAGGAATTGAACTAATTAGGTAAAAATGTTAATTTATATACTAGCCTGTTACATGAATACATTCCTATCACTATGTTACTGTGGTTCTGTTAATGTATTGTCCATCTCTTTTTCTTACAACAAAGTTAATTTACTAGCTCATCTTATTTTACAGGTTGATGATCAGGACTTGAGAATGTTGATGGCTTCTATCTGGAGGATGTTGGACATGTTTTCTGCAGGCAGGAAGACTTCAGGAAGACTTCTGAAGCCACGGCTGGAGATTATCTAAATATATACTATTATCTAATTATTTTGGCTTTGCTATCTATATTTCTATTCTTATTGTAATGGACGACGGTATCTATGTCATGCCTGTTTAGGTGCATGCCACTGGTATTTATATTTCTATTCCTATTGTAATGGACGACAGTATCTATTGTTGCTGCAGTGTTGCTACTGGTCGTGCTGCAGACAGGTGTTTCTAGCACTTGTGCTCCTTCAAAAGTGAGTTGCAGAGCATACTATGGCTCACGTTGCCACAGATGATCTTCTTTGTTTGTGGGGGCATGTAGATGCTCATTAAATTTTTTTCTCCATGAAAACTATTTATATAAACTTGCATTGGGAAGGATGGTTTCTAGTGATGAAGTCTTGAAGCTATAAAAACCATGATAGAGTCTAGCATTGGGAGTGCCCTTAGCAGTCTAGGTTTAGTACTGAGCCGGGAGAAAGGAGGCCTCCTGTATACACGCCCACAGAAAAGAACTTCAGTCGTGTTCATCGCTCAGTCAGTTTAGCAAGCTTAGGTACAAGTATATACTCCATATAAGTATACTAAAAACCTGGCTCTTGATCCTCATCATACATACACATTCGTCCCCTGCATGCCACGTGGAACCAATCGATCAGTGCCAGACAGGTTATCGAACTTTGACTTGACTCCCACAGGCTGGCTCGGCCCCTTGGATGCACTCATGATCTGTCATCCAGAATCTCCAATGTCATGTTGTCATCCAAATAATAATACTCCAAAAATTTAAATGATTTGTCATCCAGAAAGTGAACCAATGAATAGTGTCACTTTGTTTATTTGACAAATATTGTCCAATCATCCATTCATCGTGGATTTCCAACTAATAATACCTACATTTAATACTCCATGCAAGCTGGCTAAAATTGATATGATGGAGAGAGTGAAAAAAATTTAAACTATATATATTTTATTGACAGGAGTTGCATGATTTGTAATAACACCAAGTGAGCATCTCCTAATGATGCTCATATCATATTTGCATATACATATGCTACTACCATGCTCCAGTTCATTCAGTAAGTGCCTTGAACAGTAATATATAATGCTAGCTAGATCTTCAAATAATTTTATTTTACACCTCCTGACACGTATCGATCTCAATGGTGAAGTGCTCATGTATGTATGTACTACGCACTTTATGATGATCCATGCATCAATATTAAAGCTATATAATATTTCTAATTTTCTTCTTTCTTTATTTTGTTTCTGCAATATAACATGTGATTCAAGCATGACAGATCTTGTTTGTACTCATGTTGAGATCCGCTCCATCACGAGTTCAGGACCCAATGCAAACTGCAAAGCTACGATTGGAAGCGTTATCATTATTGTTATATGTATTTTTAAAAAAGAGACGCTATATATATAGCAGTATAAATAAACAGAATATCAACAAAATGCCTCGTCTTCTCTTAAATTTAGTTTTTTTACCCAAGTGGGGTCATTGGGTACAATACTGTGTGTATACATATCTGAATATCATGTATGAGAGGGTGGTTATACATTACTGCAACAAGAAAATAAGAAATGTTTATACATGTGGACCACTATACTATGCACACACACACATATATCTTATATATATAGGTACAAATTAATTTGGTAGTATATATATATATATCAACTGAATCGGAGATTATAAATTTAGAGTGTACAATAGGTTGATGAATAATGACCTTTTTTACATACATTAGAGAAGAAAATTAACCATGCATATATATATGTGTGCTGTTGCGCGATATGCACGCATGATGTATGTATAGTGCGTAGATCAATTAGTTTCTATTTGCTAACTTGAATCCGTCAAAACAGAAAAAAGAAAAATGAAAACAAAAAGAATCGATCCCCGATACTCGTTAGTTGTTTATTCCCCATCCAAACAATGGAGTTCGTTCCTTGGTAAATCTGTAGGATTTTGAAGGTGAAGAAGCAGCAAGCATGTTGGCTGGCTGGCATCATGGTTCATGGAGGGATATGATGAGCACTTGAGCAGCAGGCAACCCAGACACAGTTCAGGCAGATCATCGATGCATGGACGAGCGGGCAGAAGTAGCGCGCAGCGGCTAGCCGGCGCCATGGAGGACGCTGCCGTCGGAGGTGTGCCTCATGGTGAGCCTGCCGTGGCCGATGATGCCCTTCTTCATCATTGCCACGAACTCGCCATAGTCGATGCGGCCATCCTGCAGATTGATCGATGAGTATACAGTCATCAGTTAATTAGCTAGTAATCCATGAGCGAGATCGATGATGGGATGCACTCATCGATGGTATGTGGTATGCGATCCACTCATGAGTCACTGACATACGTACGTTGTCCTGGTCCACCTCTGTGATGATGTCGTCCAGACCGACGTCGACCATGTTGTGGTCCCTGCACGCCTGCTCCAGCTCGTCGACGGTGATGTACCCGCTGCCGTCCTTGTCGAAGTAGGCGAATGCGGCGAGCAGGTGCTCCTCGCGCTCCAGCTTGCTCATGTGCACGGTGGCGGCGATGAACTCGTCGTAGTCGATGGTGCCGCTGTTGTCGACGTCGGCGGCGTCCATGAGGTCCCTGATCTCGCTCTCCCTGAGGTTGGAGCCGTGCCTCCTGAGCCCTTCCTTGAGCTCATCGAAGGTGATGGCGCCGCTGCCGTCCGTGTCCATGGCCTTGAACATCTCCTTGAGCCCCGCCAGCTCCTCCTCCGACAGGCTCTGCGCGATCACCCGCAGCGCCATCTTCTTGAGCCTGTTCATGGCCGAGAACTGCTTGAGCCGCGTCAGCACCGCCGGGTCCAGCGCCCTGTCCGGGGCCACGCCGTTCTCGCAGATCCACGGGTGGCACAGCACCTGGTGCGCGGTGAGCCTGTCGGCCGGCGGCGACCGCAGCATCCGGTGGATGAGGTCCTTGGCGCTGTCGGAGATGGTGGGCCACGGCTCCGAGTCGAAGTCGATGGCGCCCTTGAGCACGGCGTCAAAGATGCCCTGCTGCGTCTCCGCCCAGAAGGGCGGCACCCCGCTGAGGAGGATGTAGATGATGACCCCCGCCGTCCACACGTCCGCCTCGGGACCGTAGTGCTTGCACAGCACCTCCGGCGCCACGTAGTAGGGGGACCCCACCACGTCGGTGAACACCTGGCCGGGCTTGAAGAAGACGGAGAGGCCGAAGTCGATGGCCTTGAGCGACGCGTCGTGTCCCCTGTCCTTGAGCAGAAAGTTCTCGGGCTTGAGGTCCCGGTGCATCACGCCCAGCGAGTGACACGCCTCGACGACGCCGACGATGACGCGCGCGATCTCGGCGGCCTTGCGCTCCGAGAAGTAGCCCCGGTCGACGATGCGGTCGAAGAGCTCGCCGCCCTCGCAGAGCTCCATGACGATGTGGACGTAGAGCGAGTCCTCGTAGGCGCCCTTGATGGTGACGACGCTGGCGTGGCCGGCGAGGTGGTGCATGATCTGGATCTCGCGGCGCACGTCGTCGACGTCCTCGGGCGTGAGCAGCTTGCGCTTGGCGATGGACTTGCAGGCGAAGGCGGCGCCCGTGGACAGCTCCGTGCACAGGTACGTGGTGCCGAACTGCCCCTGCCCGAGCTTGCGCCCCACCGCGTAGAGGTCGCGCAGCGCCGGGGTGACGTGGCCCAGCACCGCGGTCGGGGACGACAGGTGCTGCTGGTGCCCGCCGCCGCCGCGCATGGTGGTGCTAGCGCTGGTGCTGGTGCTGCTGCTGCAGGTGCGGTGGTGCCGCCGCCGCTGGTGGTGGTTGCGGAGGAGGTCGCTGCTGCTAGAGCTGCTGCAGGCGGAGAGGGAGGACGACAAGGCGCTGCTGTTGTTGTGGTGGCCGTACCAGTAGTAGTCGGTGGGCGAGGAGGAGCCGCGGCAGGAGTTGCCCATGCATCGTACGGTGGCCGGCGGATCAAAATCAAACGCCGGGAGCCGGCATTGTTGTTGCCATCGTCGTCGTGGCCGTCATCGTCAGATCATTTTATAGATGATAAATTAATTTCCTTCTCCGAGCGAGCGAGCGATCGATCCCGGCCTCGCTGCTCACATCAGCTTCATCGATCGACCGATCGATCCTTAGACGACGGCGACGGACGTCGGATCCTTGCCTAATCAAACACTAACTAATTAGTTAATCTCTCTGGTGGAGGACAGGAGGAGGGTTGGTGGGGAGAAAAGCTCGGGATGGAATGCAAATGGAGATGAGGATCGGGCGACGACGACAGACAGACAGGATGGGAATGGGGGAGCGGAGGCAAACAAAACAAATTCGTAAACTCCGGCGGGAATTGAGGATGGCGACGTGGATATATATAGCAGCTTAGTATTTCCTGCTTGATCTGATGATGAGCAGCAGGTAGACGATCCATCTTCGTTCATTCATTCATTCATTTCCCTACAAGCTACAATACACACATGCACGCATCAACTTGGTCGTGTCGCGTCGTCACTCGTCGATCAGAGTGCGCGGGCACCACGAGCGAGCAAGGAAGGACCTTACGCCCGCCGCACGACACGCCCCCTTCCTCACGTCGCGGTCGCGGCCAAAGGTTGTCTAGGGAATTCGTCGTGAGCCATTAAAAAGGATGGCAATTTCATAGTCACTGAAAAAGATCAGCGGATTTCAGCGCCACTACTTCAACTTTTTTTTTTTTGCCCTCCATACCTCTATAGTCAGATTAGACTCTAACGGTGTCAAACTACATATGACAAAAGTCAAAAATACCTTAGGTCTAAATATAACATTAATTTTTTTTAGCATCTTAACGACTTTAAATGAAAAAACTCAAAACTAGAAAGTTATAGATCTCATCGAGATCTATAATTTTCATATAAAAATTATCTTCATTTAATACCACAAAAAGGATATAATTTTTCTAAGATATATTAATCATATCAAATCATGCCTTTTTTGCGCAATTAAATAAAGATAATTTTTATATGAAAATTATAGGTCTCGACGAGATCTACTACTTTCTAGTTTTGAGTTTTTTCATTTGAAATCGTTAAGACGCTCAAAAAAATTAATGGCATATTTAGACCTAAGGGTATTTTCGATTTTTCACACTCTGCAGGTTGACACCATTGGAATCCAATCTGATGGCAGTGGCATAGAATGGTAAAAAAAAGTTAAAGCAGTGGCGCTGAAGTCCGCTGACCTTCATGTCAACCTGCTTCACCCACCGACTAAACTGATAAAACAAAACAACAATGCTATGCTGCTCAGGAACTCGACTCGCAATAAACAACCTCAAATCAAACGGCTCTTTGATTAATTCATTTATTCATATTCCTGGCATGATGAGGAAACCAGCCCAGATTGAAATTACAGCCCACGGATTAGGATTATTCTGCCAAAATGAGCGTTTCAACATCTCCTAGTCCTAGCTGTGGAGGCTATGCATTTCCACATCACTAACTTATTGCAAAGCCAAGACAATCAACTAATGGTTTCATCTTTACTACCTCAGAACTCACATAAACCGATCACCTAAAGTACTTAGTCATGCAACAAGTGAAAGAAAGAAGAGAAAACATACAATCCATGGGGTTCCCTTCCCACCCAGCATACTCTTCCTTGGGCTACCAGGTATTCCCAGATAGAAATACAGCACCAGTTTCCGAGTGGAGGCCTCCGTAATCTGTGGATAGAATCAGAAGCAAGCATGCATGATTAGGCTTTCAGTAAAACCATTGACAAGTTCTCAGTGAACCAACTATATTGGTGGATAGCAGATAAGTCAAACAACCGTGCATGCAACAATAAAATGCAACATATCAGAATTAACCAGACAATACCTCCTCTCGTGTCTTGCTAACCGTCTGTTTTCACAACAAGCAAAGACATTCACAGCCAGAGAAAGTACCGTAAGTTCATAACACGCAGGTTCCACCAAAAGTCAACTGCAGGTGATCACTGTTCAATGACCCTAACAAATGATGTTATGGTCAGCGGGCGGACCTGTGGCTGAGGAAGCGGGCCTAGCCGCGACATGCGGGAGCATGATCACCAGGAGCTGCCAGCGACTTAAACAATACTTATAGTTGAATCACCAGGAGTGTGATCTCAATCTCCAGCTGATCTCTATTAGCTTTAGCGTTCAATACTTATAGTTGAATCCTAACAAACTGACTGCTAATTGAAAGGGATAACAAAAGCTCCTAAACAATAGGATCCTAACAACTGACTCTAAGTCGCTGGCAGCTCCTGGTGATCACGCTCACGCATGTCGCGGCTAGGCCCGCTTCCTCAGCCACAGGTCCGCCCGCTGACCATAACATTTCTCAATCTCCAGCTGATCTCTATTAGCTTTAGCGTTCAATACTTATTATAGTTGAATCCTAACAAACTGACTGCTAATTGAAAGGGATAACAAAAGCTCCTAAACAATAGGATCCTAACAACTGACTCTTAAGTCGCTGGCAGCTCCTGGTGATCACGCTCCCGCATGTCGCGGCTAGGCCCGCTTCCTCAGCCACGGGTCCGCCCGCTGACCATAACAAATGATGTCACGAAGAAGCTAAAAGTTCAATCTATCCTCTATGGAACAACACTTGTTTTATAGATAATATTGCCTACCCCAACTTGCTTGGGATTGACAGGCTTTGTTGTTGTTGTTGTTGTTGTTCTATTACATTGATGGGGATTAGGGAATCATAGATATTGGATGTCAACAAAACTTACATCCTTCTACTTTGATGAAGCACGAGCCAGTAAGTTATTATTAAAAGATTTTGATTCCAAATTTGACATGAAACAGACCTGTTCAGAGTTCCAAAGTTTCCATTTCTTTCATGATGGAAGTGAAGTAGTAGAGAATCTAGTGAAATCTATTAGAGCCTGTTCGGATCCCTTGAACTGGATTTAGATTCTAGGACTAGGATCACCAGCTTGGTTCTGCCTTGTAATATGAAATCGCTTTCCATAGATGGAAAAGGAGACTTGCATCCAATTCGCTGGGTGAAAAATGGGACTTATTCCGTGTTGCTTCCGATCAAAGTTCTCGTCCCTGACTCCCTAAGCCACTGCTCTTTCGCTGGGATCTCCCAGCTGCCACCATCGCTGAGCGCTCCCCATCTCTGCTGTCATTCTCAGCTTGTTACTCGATGACTAGACACCAGCACCTATTCCCTTCTACCAACTGCCAAGCCCAAGTAACCCAGTTCCCCCATCATCCTGCAACTCAACGATGGATTGGCACCAAGTCACCGCTAACCTCTTCAAAAGTGGAGGACTATTTCTAGTCATGGTGGTTTCTCCATCTTCCTTTCCTCTCGCTGCTCCAACCCCCATGCTTAACACCCTCAATTACGAAGACCAGGAATGTCCGGAGACTCAAGCACTGTGATGTAGTCCCAGCATCCCAGGTAGGTGGTTGTGGATCAGCAGTGGGGGTAGCAGATTGCAGCCAATGTGCAGAGTGCAGACGACAACAGACACAGTGAGGGAGATAATAAACCAAGGGGAGCCTGAGTGTTGTGTGCTGGTTCTTTGGTAACTGATTTGGTAAATAATAGTTTTTGAAGAGTTAGTGCAACATTGAAGTAGATTGTTTTGGCTTCTCTGAGCAGTTTGATCTGTTGAGTTTGCTTCACGAAATGCTACTTTATTTGTGCTCTGCTACCGTTATTCTTGAATATCCAAACATCTTGAATTTAATTGTTAGAAAATGTTCCAAGATACATCCAAACTAGAAAAACGGTTTTGAGTCAAATTCAGGACAACGCGCTTTTATGTAATATTGAAGCTTAGAGTTGTTTGCTAGGACGGTCCAGCCTACGGCTGTAAGACCTCCGAGGGCGCTCGTCAGAAGCGCGTCGTTTGTATGATTAAACTCTTCTTCTTAATTACAATGATACGCAAATCTTTTGCGTATTAGAGAGAGAAAAAAGGACAATGCAATTCTTGTTGAAACTAAAAGATGGAATAGAATGCTAGAATCAGTACCCAAATTGGGCCCTAGGCTAAAAGGATACCAAGTATACTCTCTGTAGATGACATCAGTTAATCAGAAGATCTATCTAGGGCGTGGGCATCGAATCTGAATCCCTCTAAAGTCTGAACATAGATGGAAATAGCAAAAGCTTGCAGGTATCACCAACCTTTTGCTAGTCCAACGATGACGTGGCGATGACCCTGGCACCAAGGGTATCGAGTTGAGCGACGGTTGCTGTCGCCTTGAGTTTGCCTGCGCTCCAGAAGGCGTCCACCATCCTGCGGGCAACCTCCTCCCCCTTTTCCTCCCCTTCGATGACGGCCACCGCTGTGGGGCCAGCGCCGCTAATTGTGCAGCCCAGCGCTCCAGCTTGCAGGGCCGCCGCCTTGACAGCCGCCATGCCAGGTATGAGGGGTGCCCTGGTGGGCTCGACGATGCCGTCGGACGACATCGCGGAGCCAATGAGGCCCGCGTCCCCTTGCAGCACCGCCGCCACGAGCGCCGCTGCCTGGCTGGAGTTGCGCACGTGCTGGTGGACGTCGACCTGCTTGGGCAGCGCGGCGCGCATCTTGCTTGTGGGCGCCTCGAAGTCAGGGGTGACGAGGACGAAGTGGAGGCGGAGCGCGGGCGGGGAGCAGAGCGGGACGAGGTGGAAGGGGTCGTAGCTGCGGACGAGGACGAAGCCGCCGAGGATTGCGGGGGCGATGTTGTCGGCGTGGAAGCCGCTGACGGCCTTCTCGGACTCGAGCCCCGCGAGGACGAGGTCGTCGCGTGCGAGGCGGGAGCCGAAGAGGGTGTCGACGGCCTTGGCGGCGGCGGCGGCGGAGGCCGCGGAGGAGCCGAGCCCCGAGCCGAGCGGCAGGCCCTTCGTGAGGTGGATGGAGACGGCGTGGGAGCGGACGCCGAGGGCGCGGAGCGCGGCGATGGCGGCGATGCCGGCGCAGTTGCGGAGCGGGTCCTTGGAGAGGCGGTCCGCGAGGTGGGGCCGCGACGGGGATGTGACGGAGGCGATGGAGACGGTGGCGGGCGGGAGTGTGGGGTCGAGGGTTGCGGTGACGGTGTCGCCCAGGGAGAGGGAGGCGTCGGCGACGGCGCATCCGAGGAAGTCGAAGCCCGGGCCGAGGTTGGCGACGGTGGCTGGCGCGAAGGCCGTGACGGACTGGAAGACCGGGGCGGGGTCGGCGGCGGCGGTAACGTTGACCGTGGCGGGATTGGCTGCTCTGATGCGGAGAGAGACGAGCGATGGCCGAGCCCCGGCCCCGGCGCTGGCCCTAGCCCTGCGGGCGGAGGGGAAGGAGGAGGGCGCGGAGGCTGTGGAAGTCGCCGGCGCCGCCGCCATTGTTTGGTGGGGTGAGGTGAGGACTCTCACTGCTGGGTGCTGGCCGATGTGACGGAGGAGCTTTTGGTTGGGTTTAGGCTGTCTGCAGAGCCCCACTGCCGAACCCAAACCCAAAACCTGCGTCTCCGATACAATACTTACAAGACCTATTTTAATGCTAGGGAAGATATAATATAAGTCTGAGTCTTTTTTCTGAAAACTTATTTATACAAAAGGTTATCTTTTAAATTTTGTTGTCGGAGAAAATCAAAAATAGGTATTAAATGCTTTGTCTGTAGAGCTATCCAAAGACGAATGAGTGTTATATTCTGAGTCACGGTTGCTGTAGACGGTCTCAATGGTGGGATTTGATGGTGACGTCTCTCACTGACAACTGTGGCTCGCACCAGGACTCTCTCCATCACCACTTGGCCTAGCCCCGCCTGGCTTGGCTCAGCTCGGCTCGCCAGCCCTGGACGCCTAGTCAGCCACCCAAGACCCCCGACCCATCCAGCCAATCATTGCTAGCCAATATGAGGCGATCACCTGTTCGCTTGCGCTTGTCTCCTACAACTAAAAAGAACAAAACGTGAATATTTTTTTGTGCGACATTTGTTTTGGGTCTTTCGTCTGCCTCCTCCTGCGATACAGATGCTCCTCCCCGTGAATCGGTGCGCCGACATGTGGGCCCTGACATGCGCGCAACTCTCCGGTCCCCATCCCAGCGCCATCCGAATCTCCCCCCGCCTCCTCTCGACCTTGCGACACCGCCGGCGCCACCGGTCTGACGCTCCGCCTCCCTTGACGTTGCGATGCCGCCGGGCGTCCCCAGGCCGACGCTACGCCTCTCCCAGCACCGTGCGCTCCACCCTTCCCTCTTCTCTTCGCTGCCGGCCAGATGCTGTCAGGCTGCCCGCATCGTCCTATCCCAAGGAGGCGGAGGGCGCGACGAGGCCGGGGCGTGGAGGGCGACGACCAGCAGCGGGCCCTTCCTCCCTAGGCGCGGCTTCCTCAACGGCGCCCCCACCCCCACTTTGACGCTTGCGCTGCGCCCCCTCCCGGCCTCCGCCCATGGCGTGCGGTGGCGGTTTTTTCGCGAAGTATACCCGCCCGCCCGTACCCACCGTTCACGCGCCGCCACTTCCACGCACGTCGCCCCCTCTACGCTTAACGCGGTTTCTTTCACGCGTGTCGCCCTCCATCTTTGGTGGCCTCGCGCGGCGAGGCCGCCGACGCTGCGTGAGGCTTGGCGGCACGCTGCCCTCCCGGATGCGGCAATCACGGGTCGATTTATTAATGATTTCTTGTTTCTTCATGGACTTGTAGGATTCTGAATGGAACCCCTTTTAGAACTCTGCAGTTTAGAAGATGACCTTATTCTTCTTTGTTGGAAAAGGAGAGCCTACAGTAGTGATGTTCGAGTACGGATTTAGGTAATTCTTCATGTTGCTATTACAATCACGGGTCAGATTTATTGTGTGAATTCCTCATGAGTTATCTATATCCATAGAAAAGTTTTGTCCATAGATCAATATGCGTCATATTATAAAAATATTGACCCCATGGATCCTTTCAAGACTTGGAAAGTTTGGCAAGCAGACAATTACATGTCTGCGAAAGGGCACCCATCATCAGCCTAATCGGTTGAGCTTATTGTCTCGTAAACGATCGTAAATTTTCAGCCGGAACAGTATTTTTCTCTCACACTAAACCAGCAGCAAGCAGTACTTCTTCACGATCCAGCAACGAACAAGCCCAGCCAAACAAACAGGCTGCATATGATGTTTATTCAGAGCGAGTTAATGGAGTATCTGTTGTCAGTGATCCTATTGACTGGGGAAGAGATCTACATGTACTTCTTTCATGTATGTGCTTCACTAATAGAAAGCCTTCTTGGGCTTCATCTGTTTCATTTTCACATAATATCTTAATGTGTGATCTATAAACATCTTTGATGATCTTGAATACAAGGTAAGATGATATGTCAAGAATGGTGCTATGGGATGGGTGCTTTCAGGATAGCGTTGGAAAGCATCTTCAATCAGCATGCCATTTTTATATTTATGATATATTGTACTTCAAATTTATAAGCATGGATGTGCAGCCACCTTAATCATTTTCTGCTCGCTTAAACAGCTAAGTCCAAACAGGTTTCCAACTGTTTTTCTCTGCTCTATGAGCCATCGAGTCGATGAGAAAATCTAAGAGGTTTCCTTCCCTATTGGTGCACTTTAACTTTGTCAAATTAGTCAAACATGTTCAAAAATTATATTTCTTTATCTGCACAAATCTTAGTAGATGACATGCAGGTTCTTTATCTGCATAAATCTTAGTAGATGGCATATAAGTTACGTAGAAGTTCATACTGTTTGATTTGTAATTGACAACCTGTATAAAGAATGATTTTTGCTACTTCATATTCCAGAGATATGACAAATCTGCCAAAAAAAACTATTTATGCTGGTATACAACTAAGAAAGGGATGTAACAGATTAATGTTTTTTTCATAGCCATGGACTTAGATTTTGGATAAAACTGACAACTCTTATACCCTGTATTCTGTTCAATAGATCAAAGCTACCAATTTATGTTCATTTGAACCTTGTTCACTAGCATTCTTTTGCTTAAAAACTTATTTGTTTCTCATAACTTGGGAAAAAAATATTTCAACCTTATCATTCAATAGCATTCTTTTGACCAAAAACATCTTGAAAAATATTATCTCATTGTACATCAGAGACTAGAAGGGCGGGCCTGGTGCAAGCGGTAGAGTCTTACCGCCTGTAACCGGAAGGTCCCGGGTTCGAGTCGCGGTATCCTCGCATTTGTGGCAATTGTGAGGTGGCCTGATACACTTTGAAGATTTAAGGTTGATGGAACCACTTATGATCCAACTGATGGGAAGATACATAATTGGCCAAGCTTGAGCATGGATGAAAATCTCCACATGATTGCAAAGATCGATGTGGTTTGGAATGGTGCAAGCATTGCCCACTCTAAGCATCAGTATGTTTCTACTGGGTCACTGCGTCCTTTTCCATTTAGTGAGGTGAATAATGTACAAGGGGTAAGTAGCTTATTAATTTTCATGAATGTAGTTTGCTAAGGAAGTAAGGAGTATTTTACCTCGCATGTTAAGGTGCTTGATGGTTTCCTTCCCATGGAGACTGTTAAAGAAAAGCTGAGAGGACTTGCTAAGCCTTTCGTCCATATGGAGAGCTGATTGATGTCAAGATATTAGCAGGGAAGGCTGTGGGTTTGTCACATACTCTAACAGGTAATTTGTTTTCATCATCACGATTTCATACAGTAGACGGTGGACCTGCAGTGAACTAGCTGATCAATTTCCTCATCATCTTTTCAGAAAACCTCAATTTCCTCATCATGACTTCAGGCTATATGAGAACTCTTTATAATTTTTTTGTCACATGTGGTTCGTACACAAACTGCAATTGTAGAATTTGTGATTTTAAGAATGTAAAGTTTGGCTGTGTCGTGCATCTTTTTAGCTGGCTCAGCATAGCCCCCTCACATGTGAGGCAGGAGGACTGACTTATGTGTTTTAGGGCATCTGCGGAGGAAGCCATTAGAATGCTAAATGGAAGTCAACTGGGAGATAAAGCCATAAAACTTTCATGGGGTCAGCGATCTGCTGACAAGCAGGTAGTTTCCGCTGCTTGTTTATTTGCTATGTAGAAGCTAATTTCCATCCAGGTTGTGTTTGTTTACATGCATATACTCTTCCTGCACACTTCGTGCCAGTTCGGATTTTCTGTACGCAGTTCGATATTACCCGTAATCCCTACTTGATGCTTTATTACAAATAAGAACGGCATAATTGTCTTGTTTTTTTTTCATCATAAATTTGTCTTTTTAAATATTTTGCTAGCATTTAAACGAAGTATCCCTTGATTTTTCCTATTATGCAGACTAATTACTGCTAGCTCTTTCTCTGACAGTTACTTGTTTTGTTCTGTTATCTGTTGTTGCCCCCTTCCTATTGTAGTGTTTCTTCTTATCAGTCTTCTTGTTGTAGTGTTTCTTCTGAATTCTGATTGGTACTCATACATAGCAACCCGTCAGTATTGTGGTGATATAATAAGTCTAGGAGCAAACAGAGATTCTTTTTCTCCGCATAGATTAGTTTTATGTACTCGCTAAGTACAGTTTGTGTTATTTCAGGCAGTGGAAATCTCTCACATTTAATGCAAATCCTGATAAAAAACACAGGCAGAAACAAAGCATAATCAGGTATTGCAAACCAGGGAGGAGTAGCTTGTGCACATCGATGATGTTCCAGCGTCGAGAAAGCACATGAAATGTCTTTTTCAGCCATATGAATTCTCGTGTGACATGGTAATAGATGCAAATCTTAGTACTCAATGAAACATAGACAACTTCAATGTTCTTTCTTTTTTTGGCTCAATGTATGCAGATTATAGATGTTTATATTAAGCTATTGAAGGTCCACATGAGTTTGGTAAAGAGACTGGAGGTACAATCTATCTTTAAAATACGTGTATAACTGCAACCATGAAGCGGGATGGAGAAAAGGATGAAACCATTGAAGTCAATTGCCGTAACTGTGGTATTTCCCAGCATCCAGTATATAGGATGGTATAGAGATAGAGCGGAACTTATTCATGGATTTAATGACATACAAAAGAAATTGGTATCGGAGATTTTTTTCTACCGATATAAAACATTATCTTAACCGCATCACGGAAGTTTGAGAGCCTGCGACGCCGCGCCCTCCGTGACTGTGTTAATTTCACGAACTTTGCTTTTTGATTAAATGTCACTTTAATGTCGGTATTTAATTTAACAGTATTATTATCTTATCGTGTGATCCATGTGTTTTTTATTATAAAAGATTTAGTTGTCCCGTAACAACGGACGAACACGCTACTAGTTTGTTTACTTTTCCAAGGAACAAACCGTTTTTTTTTTCATCAACTAAATCAGCCAACAGTGCCGTGGCTTTCAGCCAAACAACCCAAGCCAGCAAGGCGGATGTCGCG